TGTCGTCACCACCACCTTGTCAAAGTTTTCCTTTGAACTCTTTTTATAGATTTTTTAGTCTTCTTTCTATTTTTTTTCTATTGTGTTTGCTTGTTCTTGCAACTACTAACTATCCAGCTAGCTAGCCATTCTTTTGATATACCTTTTTCTTTAATATTTCAAAGGTACAATTAGGAAAAAATGAATAAATTTAAATGAATTGTACAGATTTATCTTTTTATTCGTAAAAGATCAACCATTATCCAACCCTTCCTCCCCAATAACTCAACAACATATCATTAAATTCGAAGAAGAAAAACTTGTCTCAAGAGATTTGTAGGAGGAGAACGTAGGATCAAAAAAAAAGAAAAGAAAAAAAAGTAGAAAGAAAGAACAATAGTCTAGCATTTTCGAAACGTGGTAACGAGAAAAGAGAGAGGGTCGAATGCTAAAAATCAAAGGGACACGAGGTGAACGAGCAAAGAGAAAGAAAAAGCTAGAGAAAATACGTTCGACGTATTCAGTTTAATATTGAGAAAGAGAGAGTGAGAGAAAAGCAGAGTGGAAGGGAGGATGGATGAAGTCACCTTCTTTTGTGATAAAAAAAAAGAAAAAAGAAAGAGAGAGAAAGAGAAAACGAATGCATTTTAAAAGAGTGACCACAAACAAAAAGTTAGCCCTGATTTTTAGCCGCTCGAACGAGTTGCTGCTGCTGTTGGTCGAAACTAAACGAAATGAGACGAGCCTTTTCGAAGTGTAGAATATAAAAAATACATCATACAGACTGGTATTATGTATATACACCCCGTGTTCTATTCTGTTATCCTGTGGTGCACAGGAGGCAGCACCCAACGGTACCGTTGTTGTTTGTTGTTGTGTGTAACTGCGGAATCGCACGGTTTCGTGAGTTTTTGTATTACGATTGAGAGGCATTTCGCGAACTCAAGAGGCGTTTTGTTTTTGGCATTGGGGCGGACAGGAGGCTGGCCATTTTCCTAATGGCTCGTTGATTCGAAAAAAATCGACTAAATCTGATTTCTCTTTTTCTTTTTGTTTTCTTCTTCTTTTTTTCTCTGTGGGGTGAATGAGCGGATAGAGAATTTCGATCATTGCTGACTCTGCTTCGATGAAGCATGATCTAAGTAATGTTACGAAAGAGGGAAAGGGATGGCTAATTCTTTTGTTCAATTTTTGGGTATAACTCGTCATATTCTTATCTTCTTCTCTTATCGATATTTCAATATATTTTTATCTTCAAAAATACTCATTTTGATTTATTTTGTTGTACTTCTTATATATATTTCTTTTGTTAAAAAATTGTTTGTAAGGGGGGGGTATGTGTTTGATTCACGTAGTAGTGGTGGTAGAGAAAGAGGCCGCGTAATTTAAATATTTTTCATCGCTCTAAAAGAGATCGATGAGATAAAACAAGTATGCGCTTCGTGCTCGGCAATAAGCTATGCCTCATACGCCATACTCTTCAAGAATTTCACCTCTAACGCGTTTTTAAAACGATTATCCGCTGAGCTAGCATTTCACCCGAGGGCCTCCAACTTCTTGAAAGACTTCTCGCGAAAGAAAAAGAAAAGACAAAAATCTTAGAAAAAAAATAAAAAGAATCGCCGCGAGTATTCGATTTTTAAAATAGAAAAAAGAAAGAGAGAAAAACAACAAATGAATATTGGATTAATGTTGCACAATAATGGCAGATGCAAATGATCGGTTGAATCGTTTATAAATTTGTGTGTGTTTAATTACACGTGCATCTTCTCTTTCATTCTTTGTCTCTTGTCTTTTCTTTTTTTACTATTTTTTTTGTCATTAAAAAAAACAAACGAGGAAGGTACAGAGGGAGAAAAAGGAAGAACGATTACGATAAGTGTGATGACATTTAGTCGGACTAATTGTGCGTAGTAACTCTAATATACAGGGTGGGGCAATATCTCTGTCCAGTTAGAATATTGTCGTTGTTTATAACAATATGAAAAATTTTATATACGCAACTTACACGGCATGATGAGGGGCATTTTTTGGCTTGAACGTTTTTTGCGTGGGTGGAGGCATAGAGGAGATTTCAAGGTCACCTGCATTTTTTTAAATGCATATTATATTTTTTTTTAATAGGATGTGATGGCAAATGTTGAGACGAATTCAACGAGCTATTATTCAAGGTCATGCAAGGTCAAATGTGGTACAAAATAAAGTTTCTTACATTACAGAAGATGTTCGAAGTGGTGACCGTTAATGCCAATGCAAAGTTGTAATCTTCGTATTGCTGCATCGCGTACATGTCTTATCATTTCTAAGCTTATGCTATTACATATTGCAACTATCAATTGGGGACTTTATTGGAAAATGTACCACTAAACGTTCGCCAAATGATGTGGCTACAGCACGACGGATGTCCAGCACATTATGCGCGGAGTGTAAGAGATGCACTGAATGAACTTTACTCAAATAAATGGATAGGACGTGGAGGAGTAGTTTCTTGGCCAACTCGTTCTCCCGATTGAACCCCACTAGATTTTTTTCTATGGGTAGCATTGAAAAATGCGATTTACCAAGAAGCACCTACTACACCAGAAAACATAAAAGAAAGAATAGTTGCAACATGTAATAGCATAAGTTTAGAAATGATAAGACATGTACGCGATGCAGCAATACGAAGATTACAACTTTGCATTGGCATTAACGGTCACCACTTCGAACATTTTCTGTAATGTAAGAAACTTTATTTTGTACCACATTTGACCTTGCATGACCTTGAATAATAGCTCGTTGAATTCGTCTCAACATTTGCCATCACA